AGGAAAAATCACCTCCTGCCTCATTAGCTATAAGGTCACTGGGAGACTTTGCTTGGGAAAATGTGAACATCTGCTCTCCTGTTCCTGAGTCGCTTTTTAAGAATCAAACCAGGTGAAAATAGTGACAGGTGTTCAGAATAACTTCATCAAAATATTCAAGACTCATTACTATTACTATTCTGATAAAGGACAACGAATTGAAAAATGTTTCCTTCTTTGTGTCTCTCTCAGCGAGCCCTCATCCCTGGCCCGCCTTTCCTGTTGGGGGCGTGCACTGTGGTCGTCGCCTTCCTCGTCGCTCTCTTCATCCCTGAGAAACCCGCCTGCTCCGCCTCTTCCTCCCATCTATCCCTCAGCGATAAGCCCCGCCCAGACAGCAACAGCAAAGAGTCAATGTCCTCGCTGGCCGGTGTCCACATCAACACACCTCTACCAGGCAGCGATGAAGAGACTCCTCCCACTGCCAGCGACGAGGACTTTGAGCCACTCCTGCAGGACAGTATTGTTTGATTGACAGCTAGAATTGACACACAGGGTGGAGCTTAATTGATTGACACTTGGTTTAAGGGCAAAGAACCAGTTACACATTTCCAAGGCGGGACTAAGTGTTCTTTTGTTGTCTGAAGATTGACCGCAAGAAGCTCCAATTGCATTCTCTTTGTGAGAAGGAAATATTACTTCCTACTAACGGAGGTATCAACATCCTTGACCGACCAATGAGGATGTTTCTTTTGCAAGGGCGTATGAGCTGCCCACATGATGTCTTTGGTTGATTTGACAGTTTTTGGATTGAAAAGTTGGGGCCAACCGAGACGAGACAGTTAAATTGAGACCATCGATTGATTAACAAGCAGAGGGATCATCTGCTATTTTAAGGAATGGATACGCCCATTTTTGGGATACGCCCACTTTTGGGACTCACCTGAATCAAATCCCCTGTGAAGGGAGAGAGAAGTATTTTTGAGGCTTTAATGGAAGGATTACTGCTCATCTTTAAGCTTGAAGTCTTTGATTGTTTTTGTGATAAACTAACAAGGTATTTTTACCTTCAGCTGTATCATTTGAAGCTGTATTTTAATGATTTCTTATTGTTCATTGTACAAAAAGAAATACGTCTGCAAAGTATTTACAGCAGCCAAAACATCAATGTTTATATTTTTTGTGTGTTGAAGAACTTTTTTTGTTACTGGTTTTATTTGGTTGGGTTAGGGGATTTTTATTTTTTTAAGTGTACAGTATCTTACCTGCTATTGATGCTGACCAGGTATGAATGTTAAAAGCTAAGAGATGAGTCGGCAACATGAACTCCTTCATGTCCAAATATCAGTTTGAAGACCGTTTCATCTTAACTTTAATTGCCAAGTTTTTTTTTCTTTTCTCAAATTTCACCCAGGGAAATATTTTAGCCAAAAAAGGCCCTAAAAAGATATATATATATATATAATTTATATATATATATATTGTATATATTATACAAATCTTGAGATGAGAAACCCCAAGAATGATGAAGAGGTTCAGTTTAATAACCAAACGCCTCAGTTTCAGTGTAACTTTCCTTATTTCACCGGTCCGTGTCCCTGTTTGTCACTCTACCTCAGATCAGTGTGTTTCAACATCCCTTTCAACCTGGATTTCTCCTTCACCTATGTTTTATTTTTGATATCAAAGTCACTTTATGAAAGTGCTGCTGGCTGCTGGTAGCGGGGAAACCTCAGAGCTGCAACTCTTTGTCAAGCGTGTAAAAATGTGTTTTTATTTCTAGCGATACTCAGATGATGCTTTCTTATTTCAGAAACATGTTTTCTCCTGGCATTATCTCGATATATATACTCTTTAAACATCACCAATTGTGTTGCTGATTAAACTATAAGTTGCACTTTAATACATTTTTAATATAATAATTTAAAATATATATATTTAAGATTCAGATCAACAATGGATTCTCAAAATGACTCAAAATTTGGTCTGCAACTTCTTTGTTTGCTCCAGATTCCCCATGATAGATTCGGTAACACTTAGACGTGTAGAGACCAAAGTTGATCAGTGTGTGCGTGCGTGTGTGTGCGTGTGTGTGTGTGGCCTGAAGTATAGATGTACAAAGATGTGAAGAAGTGCTGGGATCTGAATTATGCAAGATTTTTTTCTCCAGATTGAAAAAAAAAAGACTATATCAATATGGAGAGTGCACATTTGTTTCCTTCCGCTGTACTAACTGTGGGATTGATGCCACGCCCCTTCCAAGAACTGAGGCGCCATTTTACTCACCAATAAGACATCAAAGATCCCTAAGATCAGTCCGAAACACGTTAATATTAAGGAAAGTTCAGTGACTGTTGTTGGTTTTCGTTAAATATTCTCTCGTCTACTGTCGCATCTTAATTTACAGTCTTTGGTTTGAACACAGCTTGAGCTCGTCAAATGTAGCATCTTAGCCTCTTAAATCCTCCCAAATTGTACAACCAAACGTGGAGCAAGTCTTACTTTCTTCAGAAAAGAATATGCAAGACTGCTCGGCTTTTACTGGTGTCATCCAGAATGTGTGTTAGTAAATGCCACTAGATGGCAGCATTGCACCATTATCGTTCTCCAAAACCGAAATGTTTCGAGCTTTGATTTCCCTGGGTCAGTGTGCCTTCAACGAGCTTCATCTCTTGTTTTTTCCAAAGGTTTATTTTGCGGCTTTTTGTGCTTTATTTTAGAGAGAGGACAGTGAGTGGAGTCAGAAATCAGAGAGAGAGAGAGTGGGTAACAACATGCAGAAAAGGAGCCACAGGTTGGACTTGAACCCGGGCTGCCTGCTTAGAGGACTATAGTTTCTGTACATGGGGCGCGCACACTAACCACTAGACTACCTGGCGCCTGTTCATTTATTGTTTCTTTTCTCTGTAACATCAGGCAATCACTTTTATTATTTTAAAACGATCTAAAGAAAATCAGATGTTTGATTTTCTTCCACACATGTTGCAGTTTTTTGTTTTTCTCGCTGCCAGCAGTATTTTTCTTTGAATGAACTTATACTTGAAGCATTAGAGAGATATTTAATGAGAGCTTTAGAGTAGAAATGCTGAAGACTTTAAGAGTATATAACGGACACAGAGTGTACAGAGTGATATGCTTTATGACCTTAAAATGTACATGTACATGAGAATGATCTATTGGTTTGTATATATTGTAAGTGAAGCGTGGGTCGGCTCGTTCAGTGTGATCGGTTGTCCCTTCAGATTTCAGTGCAGTGAAGCTCAACGGCACTTACTCAGTCCGGACTCACTCGGGACTCTACGATCTGTTTTTGCAACTCAACAAATAAGAGCATCGATCTTTGTTTTGTTTTTATTCTTCTTCGTTCATACAAACAATTACGTCCCTCTTTTTTCTGAGTATGTTTACATGCACATTAGTATCCGGGAAATCGCTTTTTTTCTGTATTTTGTCATTTTTTTCAAACATGATGATCATCTACTCTTTTTATACGGATTTAAAGGTGCTAGATCAGATCAAGATATTTGCATTTTTCTCAACTGTTTTTGCTTTTTTTTGTATCAGTTAGACACTTAAGTTTCTTTTCATAGACATAACTACAAACCCCCTGTTTTCACTGCTGTTAACATTGCATTAAGATTGACTTTTATTTCTCTGATATACCAGCTTCTTTTTTTTTAAATAACCCAAACCCTTTTATCTAGGTGTGCATAAACCAGGATGAGTGTTAATCCAGGTTTCTATAGTCCCAATATGATGTTTGTAGAAGTAACTATTCCAAAAACCCATCTAACGAGTAGGATATTAGTGTACATATGAGCACTGCATTTGATTTTACTCTCACCTGTGAGGCTGACTCAGCGGTGTAAATATTGTACATGCATTGGATGTCTGTACATGTGAAGATATTAAATGTACATGGGATTCACTGTAAATACACGCTGTCTGTTGTCTTGTCTGGAAGTTGTACGAGCCAGATGTTGGTTATTGGAAATTAAAAACAAAAACAGCACTTGAAATCTGAATGATGTGTGCTTTTTTTTAAGAATAATTCCAGTTGGGCATTGTTGTTCCCCACATCCTCCTGGGAAACATCGAAGAATTAATTAAGAATATCAAGGTGAACTTTATACTTACAGTACTGATTGAATGGGCGTACGTTGATTAAATCAAAACCTGGAAGGGCCCATTCTCTGGGCCTTTAAGGGCGGTAAAGTAATGCAGAATAGATTAAGTAATAATTCAGAGTATGTATAAGAGCATATATTGAACCTAACCATACGCATACATATGCTCACATACATACACACACACACACACATGGGCAGTAGGAGACAGAAAAGTTACATGAGTTACACTATGTATACTTTTCACTGCTCTGTGCCTTTGAATTGCCCACTGGGGAGAAATAACGTTTTTTTTAATTGAATTGAATAAAGCAATGCACTCCGGTCACAAAGTATTTATTATTCTACTTGTCATACCCATAATGATACTGAAGCAGAACTGATAAGGCAGTGATTGATAAATATATCTTAATAAACAACTGTTCCTATAATATTGGACTATGAAAAATAATATCGCACGAAATTGATATTTTCCAATTAAGGGTTGTGTTTGTTGACTTATTTCATAAAAACACATTTTCTTCATAATATCATATGTTATATTTAAAATGTGTAGGCTATGTTATTCGTTCAACCGTGTGAGTTTTATTTAGATTAACTTAATAAAAATTTAATTTTCTCTGATTTTCTTCGTCTCCTCCAACTTTAGCTTAAACTTGAGAACCAAAGTGTAATGTTGGAATGATGCACAGATTCAGAGCTGTAATAATCAGATATTAACTATCAATATTCATCTTTCAAATCTTTTTATATTTGGGCAACGGCTCCCTCGGTATGCAGATGAACACTAATCAACAGCGACCTCTACAGGGCAACTGTACGAACAGTTCTGATAATCGTCCAATCAGAGCCCGCCTCGTGGGTCATGTGACCTCGCTGCTTCAGGAAGGGACGAGCAGCAACAACAAACATGGAGGCGTCTCCGTTTGGCTTCATACCGGAGCGGTACTGGACGGAGGAGAAAGAGAGGGCGCTCATTGCCTTTTTCTCCAGTAAGTTAGACCCTCCACTACAGCAACTTTTTATCCTACCAAAGTTGCTCTTTTGGTCGATGTGTTGTCGGAAGCGGCAACATTTTCCGGCAACCGTTGCTCGATAATATCAACGGCCGTTAGCAACGAGCAATATCGACGGTTAACAGCAATGGCGACCAGCAACTCCAGAAGAATTAAAAATACATTAAAAGACATATAATGATCATTTACTGCATGTTTGTCTATAAATGAATTAAATTGACGAAGTTTATGGACTTTATTTGTCAAATTTGTGGCTATAGTTTGGTTGATAAACAGTCCTGACATTTTAATCTCGTCTGCAACAAGAAACTACCTGGAGTCTTAAATTCACCTTTAGAAACTACCTGGAGTCTTAAATTCACCTTTAGAAACTACCTGGAGTCTTTAACCTGAATTCACCTTATGGCTCCTTGTGTTAAAATAGATCTGAAAACAAACACACACTAATAAGTAACTTAATAAAAATGATCAGAGTCCAAAAAGCACAACCAAAATGATCAATATTGCCCAAACACCTTTCAATAATTACACATAAATATTATACTCATTATGTACGTTTGGTTCACATGTTTGTATGTCTCACCTGAATAAAAGGTAATGACAAGAAAAATCAAAAACACAAACAATAATTTAAGTCCTAATCTGTCTCAGTCTGCAGACTAAAGGTTATAGATCAACATATTCCGTTTTAACAGCGTTTTAAATGATTTACCCAACCATCATTATGTCCTTTATTACAGTGTAGTAGTTTATTTAAGTATTTCCTTCCTCGGTTTTACATATTTCTTGCTTTGAGTGCTTGGTTTCTACCTCTTCTGTATTTTTAAAACCAATTAATAAAAATTAAAGGATCTTCATCTGAGATGTGATTCTGGCTATCTTCTGAGAAAATGATAGTTGAGCTCAGCAATAAGTGTCGGCCCTGAACGGCTCTTTATTTAGTCCCATTTAAGGATACATTTATCACATGTTATTACCCATGACTTATTATTATTATTAGTAGTATTATTTTATTTTATTTAGACTCAAAAATCACTCAGAGCTAAGCCCTTATTTACAATGACATCCGGCAGATAAATAATAAAATGCAAGATAAACGAATTATAACAAATATGACGTAAAAGGCAAATGATCAGTTAAAACAAAGATACAATGAATAAGTAATATTAACATCAAAATCAATTAGAAACAGGTGCAATCAGTGGTTGAGATGTAAATTAAGCATCTAAGGTGAGAATAAGAGACAAGTGCATTGATTTTTAAAGTCAGAACAGACCTTAATGAGGTACAAAAACCAACATACTCTATATTTGTATTAATTTACTACTTTATTAATTTGTGCAATTAAGACGCTCAATGCTTCTTCCTCTTTAAGACAGTTAAGGTAAGTTATGTAAAGAATACATATCGTTATTGGCCTGCAAAACACACACTGCTTAATTTAATTTGAATACAGTAAGTACTGTACATTCCTCTGTACATTATCACATGTTTTATTGATTTATATGATTAATTATCTAACCAAAGCCTCCTCGCTCCTACAGGCTCTAACTTTAAAGAGCTATAGACTCGGCTTCTGCAACTGAACGTTATCTGACACACTCCTGGTCTGAGGTGTGATGTAACAGTCTCGTCCTTTCTGGGCTCTTGTTTTAAATTTTAAAGAATATTGTAACTGACATGTTTATTGTTTTTTTTCCCATTTCCCAGAGCACAGCTGTTTGTGGAACCACAAGTCCGAGAGCTACAGGAACCGACAACTGCGATGGAAAACTCTGGAACACCTGAGGATCCTTCTGTCAGCTCACCCTCCTCCAGTTCAGTTCTCAGGTAAGGTACTCCTTACCTAAAATCTGTTTTAACATTTTAACTTGCATGTATGAATATGCTCTGAGGATATATTTCTCAGTTGTTTTGAATATATAATTTGACCTTTTCTCTTTTCCAGTTATTTTATTCATAAACACAAAATAATTTATGGTTATAACTAAGGCTATGACAGAATGACACACTTGATATGAGTTTTAAATATTTAAGAAGAAGATATACATTATTTTTTTGAACATCTTTATTCAAACAGTTATTGTATTCAATATTTTACACATTTATATTTACATATCTCAGTTGGTGCAACATGGTAATAATTTTACAAGAATTATTTACAGTTCGGCAAACATATAAAAAAAAAAAAAAAACACAAATAAAACTCATGGCAACATCTTCAGCCGCACAAAGGGGAGACTCTTGACAAGTAGAGGGAAAAAATTGCTTCTTCAAAGCAGGCAGAAGATATACATTATTAATCTAGTGAGGGGATTCATTCGATTTCACACTCTGTTGTTGAAACAAGCTGTACACACATGCACACACAGGATCCTATGGACATGCACTGATGGAGAGATGTCCAGGTGAGGGGGCTGCACACAGCGAGCGCTCCTGAGCTGGGAAGGGGTGTTAGGTGCCTTGTTAGAGGTCACCTAAGTTGTGCTCAGGAAGTTAAAGTCCCCTCTCCAGCTTCCAGACCAACTTCCAGACCTGGTCTGAGTCAGGGTCAGGTCCCTACAGATTGAGCTACTGCCACCACAATTTTTAGTGAATTTTTAAGGAGCAATCTATTTGTATCTGTAAAAAGGCAAAAATGTGTCTATTTTGGGGGTCTGCTGCAGAAATTAATTATCGGTAAGATCAAATTGTTTAAATCAGTACGTTGTTGTTTACAGTAAGCAGAACACAGACGCAAACAAACAGCAACAAAGCAGAGCATGTAAACAGTTTATTACGTTTCATTTCTTATTAAATGGAGCATTTTCTGAATATTATAGTAGTGGAAAAAGTTTTGTGGGATGAAATAAATTCACTTGCAAAGAGCCAGTGTTTAAACAAAGTTGTAAATTAAAAACTTCAATTGAATCATGGATTTGTGTTAATTGTAGTTATTGTAGTAGTTGGAGGAGTTAATTAGACTCCCCTGCCCATCCATCAGCGAAATGTCTCAAACACGTCAGGCTTGAATCCTTGAATCTTTCCTGCTGTGGTGGGGGGTAAGGGAAAATAGAAATCCTATACTCATTTTGTTTTTCTTTATAGTTGAAGACATCAAGAACAAGTTCCGAAACCTGCGCACCACCTTCCAGCGGCAGTACAAAATGGTGAAAGCAAGTGAGGTGTGCAGGTCGGACGACGTATTCGTGCCACAGTGGAAACACTACCAGCAGCTCATGTTCCTGCAGGCCTCCTGGGACCAGGAGGACGGCCAAGACGAGCTGCCACCACTTTCACCACCACCGATGGCTCCACAGGAGGAGATCCAGTCTGTCCCTAACCCCCCAGGACTTATTATCTCCTTCCTCCCCAACCAGGAGACGTCCCCCTCCTCCTTGTCCTCCTGCATCCCCTCCAACATGATGGTGAAATGTTTCTGGACTGAAGAGAGGGAGCGTGCACTCATAGCTTTTTACTGTGGTAAGCAGAACCCTTATTCCACATATCGTTTGTATTACCTCAGAGGGATTCATACAAGGAGAAAAAAATGACAACAGTTTGAATTCGTTCTATGATGGATTTGTTTGGGGTTGTTTTGTGTTGTCGTTCACAGACCATGGTTGTCTCTGGAACAAAAAGTCTGAAAACCACAACAACCGTCAGCTCAGATCCAGGCTGCTGGAGTCTCTGAGGGGCCAGCTGTCGGACCACACACTGCCTTTCTCAGGTGAATATCACCTGCTCCTGCTTGTTTTGATTGTGAGGGGTTTAATCCCCACTTGAGGGGACAGAACAGTATCAGGAATATTTGAACATCCTGGGATGCTATGACTGTAGGTTAGAACTTAGAATCTGTTGTCTTTAAAGAGAGCTGATGTGACAGCCTAAAGATGTTTAAAAGGCATAATACTCTTTTAAAATGTCTTTATATGTATGGATCCTTTGCGTGATGTTTTTTAGACATTTGGAATAAAAACTTGATCCTTGATCGGGACAAACAGCAGTAAATAAATTGAGAAAACAAAGTAAGAGATGTAAGTATGTTTTTTTTCTTTTGATTAACAGTTGAAGACATAAAGAGCAAGTTCAAGAACCTCCGGACAGTTTTTCACCGCGAGTACAAGGCGGTGCAGGCGAGCAGGGTGTCCGACAATCTCTACGTGTCCAAATGGAAACACTACCAGCAGCTGCTCTTCCTCTGCGAGTCGTGCGATGAAGACAACAATCAGGACGACCTGCAGATACTGACGCCACAGGAGGACCTGGAACATGGAAACCAAACCCCTTCATCGACTCTGAGCAGCTTCTCCTCCAGCTCCACCCACACCACCACCAACAACAACAACAACATCGTCAAGTTTAACAGCCCCTCCGCCCCCTCCAACGATGCCAAAACCAACCCCAGTGCTGTGTACCAAATCTTCCTCCCTGAGTGTCCAGACATTCCCAAACTAGCAGACCAAATGTCCACTCCCACACGCCCCACATCTCCACCCTCTTCATTCCCGGACGTTAAACCTCCCTCAGACACCTTTACTGTAAACTTCTCCACATCCGGCTCAGCTCATCCTGACAGCAGACTGAGCGCCGACTCCCGCTGCCAGTGGACTGAAGCGAAAGTTCAGCATCTCATTTCATTTTACTCTGGTGGGTGTCCTGTTTTCTTGATGCTGTTGATCATTTTATCTCTACTGGTGTGGCATTTCTTTTACCAGAATCCCACTGTGACATCACAAGGAGAGCAAATGCGAAACTTCTGCGTTGTAAGATTTATGCAGACCACTAACAAAGGACTGGATGGGTTTATTTCACATTTTGTGGGTCAGTAGGTTACTTAATATATGTTCAAAAACACTGTAAAAGTGGATTTTTCATAATATTTTCCTTTAACAACACGTGTGCTCCAGTGTCTTGCAGAGCCAGTTCTGCCAGACAACCCTATAGGCCTGGTATTTATCCTAAAGATAAAGCTAAAGTTAGAGGTATGTTTCTCTTCCATATACGGCACTACTAAGATAAATGTCTTCAGCAAGTGTGTCAGGGTTCTCCCCTTAAGATGTTCTATGAGGCCCTAGGTCATTCAGAGGATGACTCGGCTAGAGAAGCTTTAGAGAGACCTGAATGAAATGATAAGTCTAATTTAAATCATGTTGTCTGTTTCATGTAGAGCACAGCTGTCTATGGAACCACAGGTCAGAGAGCTACAGGAACAGACTGCAGAGGCAGGGCCTGCTGAAAATGCTGAGCAGAATCCTGTCTGAGAATGAGCCTGTCCCGTTCTCAGGTAACACCGAGGCTGTCTGTGTTCAAGTCTCTTCTACACGAGGAAACTGATACAAGCTGGCACCAGAGCAAACAATCTGTGCAATGTCTAAATCATCTCTGTAACATTTGATGTGTGTTGCCGCTAACATTTTGTGTACTTCTTACTTTTTCAGTGGAAGACATAAAGACAAAGTTCAGGAACTTGCGGACCACCTTCCAGCGGGAACACAAGGCGGTGAGCTCCAACAAAACGTGCGGCTCCGAGGACTTTTACCTCCCGAAGTGGAAACACTACCACAACCTGATGTTCCTCTGCGACTCCTGCGACGAGGACGAACGACCTGAAGAGCTGCACTACATCGAACCTCAGGAGCCCCGCCTCCTCCACCTGGACAGCCAGGCCCTGCCCCCACCGTTACATTACCACAGCGCCACCCAATCTGAAGCCAAACTGAACGTCACATCACAGAACCTCGAAGCCCCGCCCTCACCTACTCCCCCGGACTCTCAGCGCTCCTCCCCTCCTCCTCCCCCTGCACCTCCCCTTCCTCTCGAACTGACAGCAGAGCGTCGGGACGCAAGCGAGCGAGCCGACGCCCCCCGGCTATGTCCAGCGACGTTCTGGACTTCATGAGGACGTTGTGTCAAAGGCAGACAGCGTCACCACATGCCGGCTTCCTGAAGTACGTGGAGGAGTGTTTGAACGAGACGCCGCCGGACAAAGTGAAGAAACTGAAGAAGAAGATAATCGAGACGATCCACAGCGTGTCAGAGGAGAGTTCACTCTAACCTTCATTCCCTTTGCTTTACAACAAATACTACAGTACACTTTTCTCAAGTGTCATTTCATTCCAAACTGAACCTTTTTAGAAACCTGTCTGAGATCTAAGCTTTATTTATGTAGCTCACTGGTAACACAGAGGTCATTTAAAGTGCTTTTGAACTCGTTTTCAAACAAACTCCTGAAAATGTCTGCAATATTCCAGGACAGTCCCTGAGGTCTCCTGACTTGCCTCTTCACATTCCCACCTCAGAGCGGGAGACTTTCCCTGTTGGATGGTAGGGAGGGGGTTCTCAGGAGGAAAGACATGAGATAAAAGGTCGACATGGAAGATGAGGACGAAACACCAGCATCAGATGCTGTGATAACAAGTTTTGGTTTTATATCTTTGATACGTGTATCAGTATAAACAAATGAGTGGCAAAGAAATTCAGGTGGGTAGAGAAGAGTTCGCAGCAGCCTCTTTACGTCCACAAAAACCGCACTGGTTGCATGATGTAAACATCATCACCCTTACCCCTCTGGAGGGGAATTTTCCTGACTGTTCCTGCTGCAATCACACATTGCTCAGCGAACAGCACGCAGAAATTTTGCCTGGAAAAATTGCAGGTACAGTCAGGGTGAAGAAATTAGCTGTTTGCATTCACACATGCAGCACTCCCAGAATATTTTGGAGGTTTATGCATGATGGAAATCTCCAATATAGGCAAAAAAGGAAACATTCAAAATCAAGAAAGATGAAAAAACACAATAAAACCTTGAAAATAGAAACAGTTGAATTGTAAAAGTAGGTAAAAAGAGGGAATAAAATACATTAATAACAATGTAGATAACGGCATCATCATCTGGACTCTGCAACCTGTGTCTGGTCAGTGACTATTGGTTATACACTACTTTTCACAATGCATTGTGGGATACATTGAGTCCATTACGTATATAGGGTATAAAAGTTTCCATTCATTATTTCGGAAAACACTACAAAATTATTTTATTGTGAAGTTTTTCACAACATGAATACAGGAGACTTCAGCTCCTGTTGACGTGAAAGTCCTTGTTCAAAGTTTATATTTGTTTGGATTTCACAGCCAATCACATCTCAGTAGGGAATATATCTATAAACAAAATAATGCATATTTATTATCTTACATTATGTCACTAATTTAAAGCCCCTCTGATGATGTCTTAGCTGGTCTGAAACTGATTCTGATGTTTCTTTTTGACCTGAAAAACTCAAATGAGACCATCAGGAAGCTGTTTCATGTTTTCTATTTTGTTATTGTCATGACGTAAACAGCTGCTGCAGGGAGGTGTCAGATGAAGTGGTTTACAGCATGCTGAAGAAACGCCTTTTTTAGAACGTTTTCTATGATGGCAGAGATCCCAACGAGTGATACAAAACTCTACTTTAGCATGCATAGGACCACAACAGCAAAGAGATAAGACCTACCTGTCCACAGGGGGGCGCCAAACACAACACAAACCAAAAGTTCCTCACAGGATCTTTAAGTGAAGAATCTTCCAAGAACACTAAAAAAGGCTAAAATTAGCCTCTTAGCATGTCCTGTCATTAAGGGTTCTTCTTTTTTATCTGTGGTCGATGCCAAAAGAAGAGTGATCAGAGGATCTCAAGTTCTCTAATTCTGTTCCGGTATGTTTGGACGCTGCTTTCTTTGTTATTTTTAATTATGTTGAGTGATTTATCACAATCGACAAAGTCCTCAACATCCTCTTCTATGGTTGTGTCGAGATCAAAGTGTTCAAACTTTAAGACTTTTCTCTTTCTGATTGTTTTTCTGAAGCTAAAATTTACAAAAGGCCAGTCTTATAGACTTCTCTGACTCTTGCCTCTATGTTGTCACCAATACAACTCTGTAAATGTCACATTGGAGGATCTTTTTTTGTCAGTCTGAACTGAAACAGATCTGTCAAATTGTGATGAAACAGAACATTTTAAGGCCATCTTTTAATATTTAACATGTTATGATGTTCATGGGATTTTCTATTTTAAAGCATTGTTACCTCTTTTTACATTTATGTTACAAAAAACGTGCATTAAGCTTCTCACTCAGCTGTACAAACATTTAAAGCCTGCTAGTTGTCATCCTTGAAAATCTATGCATGTTAGGACTTTAATGATGTTTTAATGTTTCTGCTCTTATTCAGTGTTTAAGTTTTGAAGAATCAAAACCTTTCAAAGCAAATCTTATATTTGTGAGCACTATAACAGCTGCTGTTATGTCTGTTTTCTTTTCTGTTTTTATTTTGCACATTTACATAAGAATGTTGAATCGCCACCTGTAGTCAGTGTTCGCACGCTTTGGATCTACCTTTAAAGTGCCTTATCCAAATCAAATCTACTGTTTTTGTTTCGCTGTAAATATGCAGGATGTTGTTTTTTTTTCACCTTTTGACTTTATACGTGCACTTTTGACTTTATAAGTTTTATTTACTGCATAAAATATAAGAACGAGCAGAACGTGTCTGGGGATGTTTTTATTTTGTCTTTTAAATAATGACAACAAAAATAGAAGAAGAAAATCCAGAATCTTGCAATAACAATGAACTCCACAGAGTCAGGACAAACAGTTAATAAACAAAAAAAAACACGAGCGGCTGTGGCTCAGTTGGTCGAGTTGGTCGCCAACCGGAAGGTCGGGGGTTCGACCCCCAGCTCCTGCAGCAACATGTCCGATGTGTCCTTGGGCAACCCTAAAATGCTCCCGCTGCTTCGTCGGCAGTGTGTGAATGTGTGTGAATGGTTTAGGTACTTCTGATGGTCAGTCTCCATAGCGACCTCTACCATCAGTGTGTGAAGGTGTAGATGTGATCTGCGGTGTAAAAGTGCTTTGAGTAGTCAGAAGACTAGAAAAGCGCTACACAAGCTCAAGTCCATTTACCATTTACCACTAATAAATCCATGGAATCTGGATATTGTTTATATCCAGCTATATCTATATTAAAATTCAAAACCGATGTTACGGAAAGGAGGACAGGTGGAAAAAAATCAGTAGGAAGATATCACTCATCTCAGCTCTTCCATATTATAGAGCAGTGATTCTCAACTGATGGGTCAGGACCCAAAGGTGGTTAGCGATCATGTGCCTGGAAAAAGACCTGGAGTCAAACAGTTTGTCAAGCACGTTTTGAAAAAAAAATGTATGTCCTTTTTTTTTTGCTTCCATCAGATGTTTTGCATCATCTGATGTACAAAACATTTGATGGAAGCTGCACAATGCAAAAACTGCACAATCTTGCTTTAAATAAAACCTGATTGGTTGAAAAATATCAGAAATTTGGGTAACGGTTTTCAGGGAGGAGTTGATGGTGGGTCCTGAGGCAAGACGAGTTGAGAAACACTGTTACAGTACAAGGAAATAAAGTTGATCTTTTGCGTTGTTGCATGTAGTTCTTATCTGTTCCTCTAGATAGCAGTCTCTTGTCACAGAGCATGTACTCGTGCGTCTCCTCAGCACTGGTTTTCAAAGCTTTTTAATCTGCTTTATGCACATTCTGGTTTAAGTGATTTCCCTGCAAAAAGAAGTTCTTTCAATCCTTCAGATGTGCCTTAAGCAGGAAACTATCTCCTGATATTTGATTAAAATGTCTCAGTCTGTGTCCACTGGGAGGAATAATACACATTGTAATCATTAAGATTTAAATAACATTTTGAGTCTATTTCTATTCAACAGCTCCTCGGTATAATTTGAGCTGAGTTATGAGGGCGCTTCATTCAGTTTCTTGTCCCATGTCTCACTGCCTGCCATAAAGTCACACTTCCATTTCCACTCCAGGCCAGATGGTGGCAGCACTGCATCAATATTTGTACTCCCCCAACTGTAATCAAACTAAGACGTAGTAGAAGAAGAAGCGATTCACTTGCCATTAAAGTTGGGCCCACACAAGTAACATCAGTAAGATTGAGACAAGCCAATTAACTTGTGTTTGTTTATCACAATCACTGATCCTGTCTGAACAACCTACAGAACACAAATCAAATGGATGTTCAGGTGTGCTTTGCTAGTAGCACCTGCTGTAGCATTATCCAGAGGTGAGGAGGGGGTTACCTGGAACTGGTAAGGTCTTTCTAATTCCACTTTCACAGATGATTTATTCATTTTCACACTTGTTAGTTCACGACTTGACTTTGGATAATTGTCACTGACGTTTTACAGGTTTGTGAAAACATCTGGATGCTACTTGTTTGTTTCTGGTGATTTATTGCATATTAGTAATTTTGTTGTGTTTTTATATACTGCTGTAGACCGTGTAGAAGTGGGCCTAACCTTTATGTTTTCAAAAGTGAAGCCAGAAGTTAAGTGTCTTAAAACTGCATTCTTTGTATTGGCCAGTAGGGGGCAACTCCTCTGACCTGATAGTACAGTGTTTCACACACACATAATTGATACTTGGGCGGGCCGTCCAGTTATATCTATGACCACCCAAGTATATTTCCAACCTTTTTTTCCTTTTTTCATAAAATGTCCACACTCACGAGAGACGGAGAAAGAGACAGAGAGAGCACTAATGCGCTGCACTGAAATTGACGCTTGAGATGCAACGCTCATGTGAAAACTCTCATGCCTTTGTTTCAACCTATACGGCTCTGCAGCTGCTTGCTGCCGATGGTGCTGCACCTGAAGTTTAAGATGTTGTTACGATATGCGTCATCATGAATAAGCCTCACCTAATGATGGTCCATTGAGTTGAACTTTTGAAAACTCAAGATATCGTACTTGAGCGTCTTTACTGCCAGTGTGTGTGGATAAGAGAATAGTGGATTGTTCTGGATCACATTTCGGTGGTTTGCATTCATAGACTGTATAAAACATGGACGTAGTCTCAGTGATGTCAACTAAGTCCACTCCTAATTATGCAAATATATGTATAACTCTTAATCAGATCAGAACTGTTTTAGTTTTTATTTTCAGGATAATTTTTGGGCCCTTTTTTTTTGCCTGCATTGGACAGCGGAAGAGAGACTAGAAATATATCGAGGAGAGAGTGTGGGATGACATGAAGCAAAGAGCCGCCAGATCTGAACCCTCGGTCGCTGCGATTAGGATTATAGCCTCACATGGGGCGTGCAATATAACTGCTTGGCTATACAGCACCCCAGAACAGATGAGTTTTGATGAATAACTTAATTGTTGTTGTTTTTTAACTAGGCTGTAAACATATTTTTATATCTCTGCTTCATAAATGTGCATTTTAATACTGGACTGTATGGAGATTTGTTGTTTTCTGCAGCCAGCCTCTAGTGGACACAGTAGAACAGCAGGTTGTTTTACACTTCGGCTTGTTTTTCATCACCAGGCAGAGGCTTACTCTTGTTTGTATTCTGTCCCTTTTGCCCTGATATCCTGCGTACAGTATGCATCACTATCAGACTGTAAGACTCAGACTGGTAGCCCATAATCATCCACAAGTTTGGGAGGGAGTGATAGAGTTGCAGCAAACAGATCAAGTAGTTTTGAATAACCTGAGGGCTTCAGAGTTTCTGCAGATGAGTATTTCCCAGCCACACAAGAACTTGATCATTGTCCTACAGCTGATATGTCTAATCTGTTTATTGTGAAGTGTGTAAACAATTAGATCCAGTTTACCCGGCAGGCGCTTTAATGTGCCTGTGCAGCTGTAATCTGGTTCCAGTGTGAAGGGAAACAGTGTCAGACCTGCTGCTGCAGAGTTCAGCTCTGCTGTGGAGGATTGGATTACAACTCATCAGCACACACACAGGAAACACACGGGAAACACACAGGAGACACTCTCCTTCTGTTCACAGCTCTCCTCTGTTTTGATTGCTTCACATTTTCCTTCCTTTATATCTTATTTTTCTTCCACTTTATTTTTCTTCCCCTCTCCTCTCTTCTTTCCTTTCTAACTTCTTTCCTTACCTCTCCTTCCCCTCTCTCGTCCCCCCCTCTCTTTCTATCTCACTCTACCTCACTCCACCTCTCTCTCTCTCTCTCTCTTTTCTTTTCGCTCACTGAGTCGCAGTAAATCCTATTGTGATGCTAAACTGATTTTCGGAAGAGAGATAGAGACAGAGAAGGGGAGAGAGAGAGGAGGTTTGGGTTTCTGTGTGAGCAGATCTCATCTGACCCCGTTGATCTTGAAGTTTTTAACATTTTCTCCTCTCTCTATAACTTGTTAACCTCCTTTTTGAAGTGAAGTTTCGGGTGTTTTTTTGGATCAGCCGCTCTCTGCGCTTCAGGAATGCACTTTGCAGTAAACGCAGCTCGGTGCTCGGACACTTTACTTTTTTTCCACTTTTTTTCTTAACGAGGATTAATCAATGAATGGAGGATATGCGCTCGTGAAGAGGACATCGTTCACGTCAGTCCGGTAACCCGCTCCTCAGTCCGCCGGGCCGCAGCCGGGCTGAGAGAGCAGAGCAGCCCGGAGACAGCGCTCCCTAGTCCCGGGCATGGAGGGCAGCAGCGGCGTCCGGGCGGGGCTCCAGCAGCAGCAGCGGCAGCAGCAGGCGGCGGGTGGAGGAGGAGGTGGAGGCTGGGTGCTGGTGGAGGCCCGGCTGCAGGGAGGAGCACCGTGGGGCTTCACCCTGCAGGGCGGCCTGGAGCACGGAGAGCCGCTCATCATCTCCAAGGTACTATACCGGAAATGCGTCGCAAATGGGTCTCACATGTCATGTCTTTATATCATCATAACACTACAGGCACCTGTTGAGTTATCCTATTATAGGCCTACTCAGAAAAAAATCATTCAATGTTTCTAAATCAATAGTTTTTGCTTTGAGTATATCCTGTAAATAAATGTAGGCCTAGTTATTTGTGCATAACTGAACATATCAATGCTTATTGGGATATAGGCTATCAGCGATAGCTTCATGTCACCTGATAATAATTGGGCTTTATTGTAACAGCATGTTGGTAATCGACTACTGTAGTCCTATTCTAAATCTTTAACAGTAGAAGTGCTGTTAAAGCTCCATGTGAGAAACTTTGCTTTTTGTTGACTTTAGCGCCCCCTGTGGACAAAGTGGTACGCCTCATCTCTTAGCTGCTGTTGTCCTGTTAGGTGCTTTCAAAGTTGCTGAAAACTTCCTCAAGTTTTGAGGATGAGCTGCATGTGGGGGGTTAGATGTCGTCTTACTCTCTTTTCAAAGTCAAATGTATCAATCATCGAGGATTTTGCCATGAAAAATCTAAAGAAAGTCTGTCCCTTCAGCATGCTGTAGATCATCTAATGTGAAACCACTGGCATCTGTTCAAGCATCAGAAAATGACATCATAGGGAAACTATTAATCTCGTCACTGATGGTGTTTTTATACTTTTGTAGATCATGCAGAGGCATCACTACTTATTTCATTCTGTTTTATAGCCAGTTAAAAACATGCAGCTTTAACTTTCTTTCAATTCCCATTCCATTTCTATATTCATCCCTTCATCCCAAGCAAAACTCCAATATTGATCCTAGTTTGAGCACGTTTCTGCTCGTGGAGCTTATTAGAAACATGCAGAGGCTTTTTAGGTCGGGTACAATCACTTCTATCTGAACCACTTCTCTTGCTGCTTCCATCACTACAACACCTGTTGCTTTGACCTGATAACTGCTCTCATATCTAGCAAACCGAGGGGTGTCCAAAACGGCCGTGTGGGGGTGCCTTAAAACCGCCTACCTTCTCTGGTCCAAACAAATCCAGATCATTCAGGAGCAGAATCTAAAGTTAGAAGGAGGACATACTGGCTGCTGTATTGTTGTCAGAGAAGCCAGCACTTCAACATAGCATGTTTCATTAATGTCTGATCATATAGTAAGATCACTTTATCATTTCACTCACTACACATCTCACTGATTGCTCCTTTAAACAAAAGAGCGTCACATTACTTAAAAGTCCAAAAATTGTGATAATCAGGATGACAGAAAATGTTCAAACCCACTCCCCCTCTTTGTCTGCCTCCCGCCACTCAACTGAAAAGGTCAAATAAGGTCAAATGGCCAAGTGCCAATTACCTGAAATGATATTAAACCCATATAAGGAGTGAAACATAAAAAATCAACAGAGGTAAATACACTGTAGCTCCTACATGTATACGTGTGTGTGTGTGTATTTTTACCCCACAATAAGGCTGATGCATTGACATCTTCTTTTCACTCGCTGATCAACTGGAAAACAAGATGTCCAATGATGAATATGACTTGTAAGCTGGAACGCTGCAGAACAACATCATACTGTAGCATCATCTGTGACTCAGTCACAAAGCGTGACATCAGAGGAAAATGACTCTGTTGAAATATAGTGAATCAGACGACTGCGGGAGGCTTTTTCTTAATTAATGTAAAAGTTTGAGTCGTTTGGAAATGCAGGACATTGGATTTTTAATGTTTTTCTCATAGAACATCCCCAAACGTGATATTTATTTTTCTACAATTTCTCCCAGTTCTTATATCACCAAACAACCCCTGAAAGTGATTTTTCTGCATAACCTTAATTTGAACAACAATCCACCTCACTAAAACTAGAACCTTACCTAAGACATACGCCCTCTTCACTTAAATAACCTGAATCGACTACAAATGAAAGAAAAATCTGTTTTATTAGTCTGCATAATAGCTGCTTGTTAAATAAAGACTTTCATACCAGCTCATTTAGGCTTCAGTTGTTGCTTTACAAAAAACATTGACATCTTTTTAAGTGTTGTTCATCTAATGTACAGAAGTCTTCTGTCTGACTGTAAAACACCAAATGACCACTGATCATTCCCCCTCCGCCTGTACAGCCATCATGGCCTCATTTTATTAACATGCAAATCAGCACAGGCTGGTGTGTGTGTGTGTGCATGTGCGCGTGTGTGTGTGCGTGGAGGTTATTCTGGGACTGAATCCAAAGGGCTGTAAAATAGGACAAGAATGTGAATTATGTGTTTTCCTGGGTGCTCTTGAACACAGTCATGTTTTAATTTTGTTTTCTGTTCTCCGTGTTTGAACATCTCTCTGCTCTTTCAGCCTCGTTGTATTTCTCCATAAATCTTATTTTCTCTCCAGCCAAATCCCAGTGGTAACAATGTGCATCCTCACTAGATTTTGGTCAAAAATACTCAGCGCCACATATGAACCGATCAATTAATGTTGTGTAACAGTTACACATTAAACTGTCCCACAGTGTGTAGAGTAGTTAGGTTGGCTTCAACATCAGTGATAATTGAAAGTTTATTTTTGGGCTTTTTATGCCTCCACTGTAGGGACAGAGCTGCAAGGTGGTGCAGTGGTTAGTGCTGTTTTCTCACAGCGAGGAGGTTCCTGGTTCCAATCCCTGTCTGACAGGCCCTCTCTGCGTGTTTCTCTCTGGGTACTCCGACTTCCTCCCACACTCCAGAGACATGCTCGTTAGGTGACTGGTGAACTGGTGACTCTAAATTGCCCGTACGTGTGAATGTGAGTGTGGCTGGTTGTCTGTCTCTATACATCAGCCCTGTGATTGACTGGCGACCCGTCCAGGGTGTAACCCCGCCTCTCACCCAATGACAGCTGGGTTCCAGCCCCCTGCTCCCGCGACCCCCAACGGAACAACAGTATATAGATAATGGATGGATGTAGTGATAGGACAGTGGGTGTGCAGAGCTTATAGTCCTCCAAGCTCAGGTCTGGTTTTACTTTCATATTTGAATCTCACCCCTTCCTCTGCGTTAGAATCTTGTTTAACACCATCATCCACATCTGCTGTTCTCTGAGGTTTGTTGCTCTTTTTGCAAATTGTACAAAATAACAAACAACCAGTTAACAATCCTCAGGAGTTCTGCAAGAGATTTGTAAAAGTAGGTTACCTTTAGACTAAACTACTTGTACTTACAGCTTTCATGAAAAGGCTAGCAGAGGGTGATGATTCTGAATAACATGTTTCCAGACTGAACAGAAGGCTAAAGAGAGACTTACAGTAGATTGTGGTGTTTATAGAATAGACAGAATAAAACATGGACGTAGCCTCAGTGACGTCACCCACTGAAGCCCAGCGAGTGTGGTTGCCATTTTCGTCATGCATGTAATGAAGCTGCTTCATACTCTTTTCTGCTCACCAGCCATTCCTTATACTGTGCATATGTCCAATTACTGACTTGCATTACAGCGTCCGACGCTGTCCCTTTGTCCAGCATGTTTGCATTGTCTCTTATACATGTTCCGCCTCCCGAGAAACAACCCCCACATAGCCTCCCACTGTGAGGTGAATATGTGAACAGGCGACACATGAAGATTTCAGGGGCAGTCTGTCTAGGACATTTCAGGAGTGCATGTGTGGAAAAAGTGGAAAATATGTGATCTATAAGTGACAAGTTTTATAGGAAATGTTTAAAAGAATCCTTAATCCAGTCAAGAATACCTACAGACTGACTGTTTCCATTGTTAGGCTAGTTGCTGACATATTGAGAATTATGTAAAGACCAAGAGCTGCTTTGTGCAGCTCCAGCTCTCAGCCTGTCGTTAGGTTGACTGAAAGTTAGTCTGAGACAGGATTTCCAACATGGCGGCTGCTGCTGATGAGCCTCCAGAGCTCAGGCTTTGTCCATTATTATTTACAGGATATGATAGCGATATATGTGATTGAGATATGATCATATGGGAACTATAAGTGAAATATTGGAATACTCTGTCCACAACCATTAATACATATGCATTGTTAGTTGCCGTTCGAAGAGTTTAAAGTCACTCATACAGCATGCATAAATATTGAAAAAATATGATCAATTGAGGATTTATATATAAGAAAAATCCTGATATTCTGATTATTCTGAGTTGTGTTAGAGTTGTGTTTCTTATTTTTACCAGAGTAGAATAAACAGATTTGTCTCGGTCAGCTTGTTTATCATCAGTTCAGTACATTTCTGGGGGTCAAAGGTCACAATGAGAGTAATCCAGGCAGCTCAGATCAGGTTGCCCAATCTTAATGAGTTTAATCTGAAAGTCTCATGATTGGCATCCAAATGAAAATGTGCAGAGACGCTGCCACATCTACACCTTCAGAATAAAGGTCAAAGCTGACACCTAAACTCTCCTCTGTGGACTTCCACTTCTATCAACATATACTTTTATTTTATTAATTTAGGTTTAAAGTGCACCTTCTCCTGAACTGTCTCTAAAAGCTCCTCCAGCGACTTCAGTGTATCGGCAAATTACTTTTGAGTTGCAGTTGAGTTGTATTTTAAAACAGCATCGTTTGCCTTTAATGAAAAATGCAAACAATATAAAAACCGATGACCAGATCATACATCAGTCCGTGTAGTTCTGTGTCCATTTAGAAATTGTAGTGTCTTTGGAGAAGCCGCAGACAATCATGAGTCGACTAGTCTTTGTTTACTTCTGAGATTTTTTCTGCAAGAAATTCCAACCAATCAGAGAGCATTGTCCTCACTCATCACACATATTGGTCCGCTTGTTAATGTCCTCATGTGAACACAGACCAAACTGGAGGTAATCGTACAATTAGTAGTAAACTGGTCCATAACTCGGACCAGAGCAAACAAACTATAGGCGGGGCGCCGGGGGCCTGGTGGTTAGTTTGTGCACCCCGTGTACACGTGTTGCTGTGATGATGGCTGAATGACATCCCGGAACGGCCTTGTTTCGAAACCAACCAGTGGCTCCTTTTCCCGCATGTCATTCCTCACTCTCTTTCTCCCCGATTCCAGACTCCGTCCACTGTCATGTCACTTAAATATAGGCTTAAAAAGCCCAAAAATCAAACGCCCAGAGAGTGCATTTCCAGCATGTGACGTCACTGAGGCTGCGACCATGTTTCATACAGTCTGTGATTTTCATAGCGCGCCACATAAAAGTCAAAGTCATCGATGTGAATGAAATTTTGCACTCAGTGAAGAAAGTGTAGATAAACAAGAATGTGAGTCTTCAGGTTATTCAGTCCCAGGATATTTTCCTGCACTTCACATTCTTCATTGATTAGAGGAGGCGTGTTGTTTCAGTCGCAGAGCGAACAGGCCGAGCTCCTCTGTTTGGATATCTCTGACTGCAGGGTAATACATTTCAGCTGGAATACCAAAGTCAGTGACACACACACACTTACAGACTTACCGAGTGAAACCTTATTTGGGTATATTTATTCTAGAATAAGGAAAACAGAGTAGGCATGTGCACGCTTCTGCAGAACTCTGCAGTAGTTTACATTTAGCGCTTTGTTTTTCTTTCACAGCTCTGAGAGGATGTTTATCTTCCTTCCTCCTATCAGCACAGATCATCAGACTTATCTCACATTTGTGTGACCTTGTTTGTCTTGATAAGCCCTCCTTGTTGGGCAGTTGCTCGGGCCCGACACTAAAGCCTCATTTGATTGGACTTTTTTTTTTTTTTTTTAATGCAATACATTTTCTCTGCAGTTTGGTTCTGTTTTAAACCCTTTTTTTTTTTTTTACGCCCCGTGAAACATTTTGGGGGGCTGCAGTGTGTGGGCCAAAACACAATATGCTTTTGTTCAAACGTAACACATGTTGTAATTCAGGAGAGGGCCAGACACACCCTGTGTGAAATTCTTGGCAGTTGTTTTAACATTCGACAAGTCCCAGATGGGTGGAGTTTATTGTTTCAGAACAGTGCTATGGATACCTTTGTCAATCACAAGAGAGCATGTGAAAACAACCGTCAAATAAAGGCTCTTTCTGCTGTAAGTGGCTGTTTGCTGAACTTCTTGTGAACCCCCGCTCTGATTGGATGGGAGGTTTTAAGGAGAAAGCCAGATTTCGATTCACCTTTATCAGTTACTGGATACAGAAAGTCTTACGTTTTGTAAAAATGCAGATTGTGGGGTCAATAAACCTTCAACCACATGCTTGTAAGTCCAGACAAACATCTCCCTAAAGAAGCATTTAACCTCCTGAAGGTTAGAGGGGACGTGCATTGTTTTTAAACTTGGGCATCTTTTCTCTTTTGGGGGATGGAGGGTCTAAACTTCATAATCCTCTGACCGCACACATAATTAATTAGAGCGTAACGTAATGTGACTCAACACACCGGGACACCGATATTAGGCCGCTGCGGATGAAATGTAGAAGTACAAAGGCGTAATGATAGCAGAACTTTGTTACACCCCTGTTACAGAATGGGTTTGTGTTGGTGGGTTGTAAAGGGGGGTGGGGGGGGTTGTACTATTTGTCATTGGAGTGGTTATTTAAATGATGTCACCTTGTACTGGCTCTGTAAATAAGAAACAGACAAAGTTGCACTGAACTAGCCACACAATGTAACTCCGGCCAGTTAGCGTCGTGTTATTTATACTCATTAGACCGCAGGACAACTACCTGTCGTCTGTAGTCACAATTTCACACACAGAAAAGTGCATGATCAAATGGGACTTCAGAAGAAAAACAAATGAACGATGAAATGACAACTGACATTAAATTGTTATCAATGACAGTGGAGTCAATTATATGTAAGGATGCATGTAAGCTAAGGGGGTCTGAATTAAATCACCAGTAAATACAACAAGTTTTGGAAATGCTCCATTAGGCTCCATGCTTGCTGCAGCCGCAAACTGCAAGACAGCTGTAACGGCTGCAATGTAATCCCTGAGAGTAAACGAGCCCGATCAAAGTAGATCCACTAAAAGTTTTTGTGTTTTTCACTGACATGCTCTGATTTTTGTTCTCCTGTAAGTGTCAGAAAACATCACATACCTTTTTGTTTAAAAGGAAGATGATTGAGACTTCACTCTCTCGCAGCAATACTCTGTTTAAAAACACGAGATATTAACTCTCATTACAGAGGAGTTTCCCGGTCTGTTCACCCCATAATAAGTTTGAATATTTTAGATTAATGTCATGTTTTGTGTAGCAAATCCTTAAAAACACCAAGTAGACCACCAACTCCTGTGTTCTGTGAGGTTAAACTGCTGTTTTTGTCAATGGGGTCTGGTGGTTTTCAGGAGAGTGATGTACCAGCTGTTTCTGGACTACAAAAACATCTAGATATTAAAAAAGAGGTCGATGTCCGTGGGGATCCTTTCTGTCAGACTCTTGGAATAACATAATCTGAGCCTGTCAGTTGGAAACACAAGAACCTTTACTTGACCTGGAGCCTCAGTTTTATTTCACAACGAGTCCATCCATCAAACTCTGAAGACGTCGAGGAATTCAGTCGAAGCCTTTGACGTTTTTTCCAGAGACATTTTGACGACCAACTCAGTGTTTAATCGAGCTTATCACACAGAGAACAAGACCACAAGACAGCGTGACCTTAAAGAGGACACACACACACACACACACACACTGATAAACAGAGACCCAGAGGCACGCTCTGCACACACTGACAGGCTGCTGAGAGGCATCATCCACAGCTTTGATAATGCAGAGAGGTCATTTTGATACTGTGTGTGTGTGTGTGTGTGTGTGTGTGTGTGTGTGTGTGTGTGTGTGTGTGTGTGTGTGTGTGTGTGTGTGTGTGTGTGTGTGTGTGTGTGTGTGTGTGTGTGTGTGTGTGTGTGTGTGTGTTTCTGAAAATCAGCACGGCTATGATTCGGTCATAGAAGGAGATAATCACAGTGGCTCCGATAGTTCATACACCAGCTTGACCTCGAGGGTGATATATCTTTAACAAACAGTGATTGCAACACCAGAATATTATTCTTCTGTTTTTTTAAATCTTTTATTTGGCTGTACAAACAAAACTAGTTTCAAAACTTGTCTGAAACTAGACTGTAGCTCCCCTCCACATTCACAATTTCCTGCACACTTGCTTCTCATCTTCTCATCTTGTTCATCAAGGAAATCTGTCAATCTTTGTGGTGAAGACTTTGTCTCAATGTAAACAAAGACTGCATCATGTAACTTTAATTACGCCAAGCTGTAAACAGTATTTCAAACACCTCAAACAGAGAGATGTATGCCAGAAGTCCCAGTGCTGTTTGACTCTATATCAGCACTCAGGGAATGCTTCTCGTCCAATCAGATTACTTGGTTGAATCGACCCCACACACGAACACACCAGGAGTGTTGTCTGCTTCCCACAACAATTGAAACCCTGATAACAGCCAGAGAAAGTGTGACTCGACATGTTTCATCACCGTCAGTGACCAGTATTCAGAGAGGTCTGTACGTGTTAGCTTAGCTTAGCACAGAGACTGCATGCAAGAGATAGAGAACCCCGAACACCTCTTAACAAGGAGAAGCTGATGTGCAAAATGCAGCCACAAAATCATGGACCTATTGTTTGTTTGTGTACGTGCAGGTGGAGGAGGGCGGTAAGGCGGACTGTTTGGAGCGCCCCCTGCTGGTGGGCGATGAGATCATCGTCATTAATGAGGTGGAGCTGACTGGATACAGACAGGAGGCCATCGCTCTGGTTAAAGGGTCGTACAAGACGCTGCAGCTCACCGTCCGCAGGTACAGACATTGTGTATGTGTGTGTGTGTCTATGTTTGTTACACTTCTTCTTTCAGTGTGATGCAGTTGAGACTGTGTTCCCTTAGTACGTTTGGAGTTTTATGTGGATGAAAGCAAAGACTTTTGGACCAAAGTTAGGATTAAAACAAAACCTGAAACCATTTATTTTATTTGAACGCCATGCTAACTTTTAGCTCTCTATTTTAAACGTGCCACTTTAAGACATCAGTCTTTCAAAAATGAATATTTAATGAAGTTGTTAAAAGTCTGACACAAGGACAAATGCCCATGCGAGATGAGATGGGATAATTGTTTTTGGTTGTGTAACTTACAATAGAACTCTTATGCCAGCAAATATATGTTGATCTGACTCATACATCCATCCATCCATCCATCCATTATCTCCACCGCTTTTTCCCATTTGGGTTCGCAGGGGGGTGGAGCAAATCCCAAATCCAAGAGGTGGGGCACAACCTGGACTGTTAGCTAGCCAATCACAGGGCATATAGAGACAGACAACACATTCACACCTACGGACAATTTCAGAGTCACCAGTTAACCTAACGAGCATGTCTCTGGACTGTGGGAGGAGGCCGGAGTACCTTGAGGGAACCCACACATGCATGGGGAAGAAAAACAGAGATTTGCACCAGACACCTCCTCGCTGTGAGACAACATAGCTAACCACTGCAGCACAGTGCGGCCCCTGACTCATCCAGATAAAAAGAAATGTAAAATTTGTGAATAAATGAGCACTTGGCTATTGGAACATTAAAGCTGTAGGTAACTTTAATACGGCTTCAAGCTGCTCTTTGAAGTGTAGTCCCCTGTTCCCACAGAAAGTTTCCGTTCGTCATTGCTTCCTTGAGTCGGTGTAATCTATAACTGGTCTGGATTACATCCTGGTTCAGAGTCCAAATCAGAGCTGATAGTCTTAAATAAACACAGCTACTTACCTGTTATCTCAGTGCTGTCAGGGCTGATCATTATTGTATTTTGAAGCCACATGGGAAGGAGAAACAAACTCATAAGTATTGAATGTCGTTGTAAATTGTTATCTCTTCACGTTCATTAGAGGTTGTCAACAGAGAGCTAGCTTACATTCTTCTTGGAAATAAATGATTAATGAGCTAGATTTATTTTGAAGATGTGGGAGAGATGATTTTTTCTTCTTAAAGCAACAATATGTAACTTTTCACTTTGTTTCAAAGGTCAATGTAATAACACAATAACTTTCAACAACAGGGAGAATGGCGGCTCTCTCTTGTGCACACGATCAGTTTTTTTCTATGTCACTTTGGCAGCGGGCCGAGGTCATTTCATGAGAAGTCTTTAAAAGTAGTTCACACAACAGCCTTCAGTTATTAGATAAAGCCAGTTATCTCGTCTCTGTACTGTTTGATACAGTGGCTGAGGTTAATGGACGAGGAAGAGGATGGTGACGGATGACAGATTGAGACGTATCGTTAATCGGTGTCATCGTTGTCTCATGTTTAGCAGCATCTTACACCAACAAGTTGTCTCTTTCGTTTTCTATCTTCAAGTAGGCTTTATAACTTTGGAACCTTTACAAACCATCTCGTATAATAGACGTCTCTAATGTAGCCATTTAGCCACTGCGTATACATATCATGGCAGCGTGGCAGAATAAATTTACTCCACATGCAGTTTGCAAACACAGACTGAAGATGCTAGCAGTCATATTTATATCTGGTGTGCTAATGTCTGACAGGTGTAGGCTAACAGCACTGTGTGTGTGTCTTAAAACAGTGCAGTTGCACTCAGAGACCTTTGGTGGGCGCCAAAGTTCACCAAACTAAATTATTACATATTAAAGTTGTTGTTCCATTTCCAAAACACTGACCTATGGCTCCATATACTCGGTGTGCTGGAACTAACTTCTAGCTAGTTAGCCAGCTTGTTTGACCAGATTTGTTGCGGTCTTATCGTAAGTTTTGGATCCAGTTGCTGCCAGTTGTTATAATACAGGTTTGACATTTATTTTTATTTTTTTTAAAGATTTATTTTTCTTTTTATGCCTTTATTTTGAGATAGGACAATGGGTAGAGTCTAAAATAAGGGAGAGAGAGAGAGGGGAATGACATGCAGGAAAGGAGCCACAGGTGGGACTTGAAGCTGAGCCGCCCGCCCTACATGGGGCGCACGCACTAACCAAAGGGCATTGTAGAAGAAATGTTTTATAATTATTGGCCAAGAAAAGGAGATGCAAACTTAAACGTAAGAGAAGTAAATGTGAACAACCCTCAGTATGTTTATATGCACAGTCAAGCCGAGCTATGGTTATAGCTAATTAAGCTATCATTGATCTTGTCCCAGTATAGAAGCACTGGGAGAGAATATTTATTGACAGAAGTATGTCTGACTCTGCTACGGTATAGTTGGAGATTATTTGTTACGATTGGACCTTCTTCCCGTTGACCTGTTATTTCACATACCAAACAATCAAGAAATAAGTTAGCCAATGGCAGACTGATGTTGATGTTGAATGTGCGGCTCTCCCTGAAGCACTCGTCATGTTGATACCTTTGGCTTTGGGTTGTCAGGTAGCATCTCTGTGAGTATTCAGGTTGGAGCATTGTCAGCTACAAAGCCAGGTATGTGTTTGGGTTTCGGGTGTGACTGGAAGCAAAGCTGCTGTAGCTACTGTCGCTTTTATTCACAGGAAGACGTGTGAGAGGCATAACACAATGCAGGACTTTAGACTTCAGACACACACACACACACACACACAGACTGGAGGACAGGTGTTGAAGCACATGGCATTATGGGAAGGTGTGGTGAGGAGGGAAGGCGTGAGAATTTCTTCCCCCAGACATGCAGAGAGCAGCAGTGTGTTTTCGTCTGATCGGCTTCCTGCAGGGATCTGATTGGGAACCGCGATAAGTCGCCCGCTCTCAGGTGAGTCATTTTAGCAGCAGATATGTTGTTTTGTATTCGAGTGTGCTTCTCTTTTGCTCGTAATGAGGCAGAAAACAGTGGACCTTGGTCTGCATGTTGTGTTCAGTGGATTGTGCAGCAGGTCAAACTCTAGAGTTGCATACCTTGGCTTGCATTGACCTTTGGACTACAGAGTCCCGTCAGAGAACTCATCTTCCCTTGAGCACCTGCAGCATCAGAAGAGACTTGTTGATATATCCTGAGGAGAGAAAATTGAATATGAAGTGTTGCACGCTTTGACTTGAAAACGGGCAAGTGTGCAATTGTCTGTGCAACTATAGCATGTGTTTGAATTTTTATACTGTTTGTGTGTGAGACGGATCACGTGAGCCAGGTGTTAGAGGATAATCTAGTTTGTGTGTGAATATGTGAGTTTGTGTTTCCTCCATCCTCTGTGTCAGTTTGCCAAAACGTGTGAGTGTGACGTTGACACCAAACACACCTGTTAGACACAGCCTCGATCACCTCACCGGTCTGTGCGACTCTCTCTCTCTCCTCCATACCTGCTCCTCCCGATGTAATTGGTGCGTTCAGGTGAGCTCTGATTGGCTAAGAGCCAGGTATAGAGACAGGTAAAGCGATACAGAGAACGAGAGAGGCGCAGACACTCATGGTGAGAGAGAACGATGCCATCAGTTCACTCGCAACAAGCTGAAACGAGGGCGAGGGTTTTCTGACCGGCTGTTCTTCAGAGCTGTAAGTCTGTGTGCGTGTGTGTGTGTGTGTATTATTATAAATGTTAACCGATCATGTGCCTGACATGTTTCCTGACCTGTCACACTTATTCTGGTGATGTGACCATCACATATAAGAGTGACTTATGTCTGATCATCTTTGAAAATGCTACTTTTCAGTTAAAATAAACCACAAACCAGTCTTTAAATGAGCGCTTAGATTGATAGTAATGACTTTAAAAACAAGGTTTCACACACAGATGTATTTTGTTGTTTCCCCTGGCTGACTCTGAACAACAAGTTTTCATCACAACAGCTATTTCAGGCTCCCTCAGGTCACGCCTTTGTCTCTCTGACAGGCTGCTAGGCTTGTCTGAATTAAAAATTCAAAAGGCATCTGTAGATGTAGGAATGCAGTTTGGGACGGGTACAGCTACAAACAGAAATCTGAATATGAATACAGAATCTGAAGGTGATGGACGAGATATGTTTTTTTTAGCTGAACCAACAACAGCTTGTGTTTTCTGACACAAAAAGCGCTGACACACTCATTTTCAGATGATTTTTGGCACCTGCTGCCCTCAGTGTTGATAGAGACAGCTAAAAAGGAGACAGTTAAGAGTGGATGTTGCTCTGTGGTGGATTTGTTAAAAAATACACAAAAAAATATATATTTGCTCTGTTTTTTTTTTTTTTACTTCTCCATCTTTGAGTTATTGATATTTAGTGATGGGTTTCATTCAGTGTTTTTCTCTGCACACATGTGAGCCCTCTGGTGTGTTTGGCCTCCAGGATTCACTTCCTAACATCTCTTGATCAGACTCAGTATGATCTGCTCTGGCACATACTGTCTGATTAATCCAGATATTCATTGAAGGAGTTATGTGCTGTAACTGTTTGTTGGAGAACAACAGATGGGTCTCATGACTTCCTTACCTCTTGTTGTCATCCTGAGGTTGCAAAGACGATGCAAAGATGTTCTTTAGCTTTTGGATACCCGATTGTTTGTCAAGCAACACAGCAGAAAAAAGAGAAATGTCCTCACACTGTTCAGCTCCCAATTAGCAACAAATGTTGCCCATTTGGAGCTGAACAGTGTGAGGACCTTTCCTACAGTTCATACAATGTGTTTGTCCTGCACCTTTATGCATTTGGCTTGGATATGTGCACACTAGTTTTCTCACACGGTGAAGAAATATTTCAGCATTAAGCAACAACTTGTCATATGAATCAAACTATCGAGATAGAGGGATACTGAGATGTCTTGGCTGGCTCATCTTAACACAAATAAATATTATTCCCTTAGCTGAGGTTCTGAAAGGAAATGAATAATTCTGTTTCTGTAAATGTGTAACTGTATCCTTAAAG